GGGGAGCGACAGTTCTTATCTATACACACACAGATGGGGGGCATCAAGAGAGAAAGAAGGGAAGGGAGGGAAAGAGGATGAGGAGGGGAGAGGACACATTATTAAAGACCTGCTAGTGCCAGGCTGTCATACTCTGGTCGCCCTGTTTACACCAGAAAACAAAGCATTATCTCAAAAGGATCATTCACTGAAGATTTGGTCCCCAGATGGTGGTGTCATTTTCAGTGTTTCTGAAAAGTGTAAGAGGTAGAGCCTAGCTCAAAAATGTAGGTACTGGAAGTACATCCTCGGGGGCCATATTCTCCCTCAGAGATTTTCTCTGTCTTTCTCCATTACTGTCTGCCCCGCCCACTTGTCTGCCATATGTGGAAGAGGTAGGGAGAGAGGCCTGCCGCATGCTTTCACGACCATCATGTCCACAGAGCCAGATACCATGGATTGAGCCCTCTGGAACCATAAACTGAAATAAATCTTTTCTCCCTTAGGTTATGCCAGGTACACTGTCACAGTGACAAAAGGCTAACATGCCATTCTGTGTGAGAATCGCCATCACACTTGGCAGATTAAAGTCTAAGCGAGTGACTGACTTCCCTTACATAATGGGTCAGCTCTAAACTAGGAATTCCTCTGTAAGACACAGACTCCCTCCCCTGCCATCCTGCCAACACAACAGCTTCCCTTTTCCCAGTGGAAAGTACAGGGCTCTGCAATGAGCCAGGTAGCCAGAGCTGGTCTGCTCACAGCAAGGGCAGCTCAGCCCCTTCTCAAACACAACGGCCTCTTTTCTAACAGGCCAGACTACTTCTAACTGACTCACAGCCCCTGATTAGCTTCCTTGAGACACAGACAGGAGACAGGAAAAATAAATAATTTCTTGGCCTGGAATAAAGTTTTCTATTAAATGGAACAGAAGGGAATCAGTAGGAGGGACGCTCCACCCACTTCTCTAAGAGCCACTGTGATCATTACCTGTGTCGTTTGCCACTGCAATTATTTGGGGTAACAAAACGGTAATATCAATCAATTCACTTGGACTGCTCTGTGCTCAAACAGAAGCTGTCCCATTTATCAAAATGGAGGCCCTGGGTCTATAGTACCATTAAACTATCAACAGGCGATCGCTAGGGCGAAGCAAAATAAAAATAAATAAATAAATAAATAAAACAACTGTTAACTGAAAGGAAATAATTTTTCTTTTTTTTCCCCAAACATCCTGGCCAGCAGAGCCCTTTGTCTGGCTGTCAGTGGAGCCAACGTGGGCTGGGTCTCAGATCTGTGTGCTTCCATGCAGTGGGTGTTTGAGAGAGGCCAACAAAAACACTTGCAATGCAATGGCTGAGCCCAGGTAGCCAGGTTTCTCTCTCAGCAGGCCAAGCTGCGTGACGATAAATAGGGGAATGTGTATGCATTTGTGTGATAAAGCAGGCTTAATGATTCCCGAGGGGAAGGAACCCGGGAGCCACGCAGTTGCAACTTAGGTTCAAAACGGATCCACGCAGGGCCAATTAACGTGCAAATATGTATGTGCTGAACCTGCACTCCATCCGTCATGCGCGTGTGGAAATTGGGCCATTTATCTGTTATATTATGTATGTGACATCTTAGTTTGGTTCTTACAGGCTGCTTGGGGACAAAGAGGCCATGTGCTCTGCAGCTAGCAGAGGGAATTTAAGATAAATTCTTCAGCTGTCGTCAACGTTGCAAGGCATGGAATTTGGTTGGAAGATAAAGCTTTTCCGTCGGCAGGGTTTTAATGTCTCTCCATAGCCCGTGTGGTGTCTTATTAAAACTGTGTGTGGTGAGGGAGGGGCAGCATATGCCGTGAGGAGTTATTGGCACAGACAGCTTGCTGTCATGTTTCCTGAGTCCGGATTTAGCAAACGTTATTCACATATTCACTGTCAATCTGCAGGGAGAAAAGAGCTGGCGAAGCCAATCCCGCACTCATTCTGTGGGCTTGTAATTCTTTTTGTTTTCCTTTAACCCATGTCTCTGCCACAGGTAGAGTCTGTTCTGCTTAAATGACAACTGTTTGTCTGTATTTAGGCAGGAAGAAAAGCAAAAGGTGATTGGAGGCAGAAAATGGCCTCCCCAACGCAGTTACCTAATCTGTTGCTGTTAGCCTACAAGAACACATTGTTTGTTCATGAGTTTGGATCTCACGTTAAATAATAGTGACCACTTGGTTTGATGAATTGCCACTAGAAATTCAATTAATAAAAGGTTACCTCCCGATGGTAGTGGAAAAAAACATGATTCTGCTGCAACAATGACAACTGAGCCTTCAAAACAATAGATGGGAAACCAGGAAAGTCTTCAAAATATGTGTTCTGACTCGGGGAGGAGAAACTCAGCCAATGAGAGAGTGAACTGGGTCAGTGTTTGCTCTGAGGTTTCACCTGTGTATGGGGTCCTCACATCCTTAATTCCCTCCATCCCTCTACCCTCTCCTGAACCCACAGAATGAATAACTGCTTTACTGCACAGCCTCCTGCAAATGGCATCCTGCCCCAAAACATGGGAACAAACAATCTCAGAATGAATCCTCTAAAACTGTGGGTCAAAGCAAGTCCTTCCTCTTATTTCCAGTAGGTATTCTGTCCACAGCCATGGAAAACTAATACCTTCCTTCACTCCCTGTTTCCTCCCTCCCCTTCCTCTTTCCTTATTCTCCTCCCTCCCTTCCCCTCCATCTTGCCTTCCTACTGATCTCTCCTGTTCTTCCTAGCCCTCATTCCCTTCTTTCTATTTTTCCAACAGATAATTTTCTCCAAGTTCTACAAATTACAAAGAAAAGCACACCCACCTTGAACATAAAACTCATCCATTTTGCACATTTTACCCAAACCCTAAAGAAGTTGGAGAGGGTTCCTACCACCCAGCACAACCCCTCACCCCTCTCTGCCTCCAACCCCTCCATAAGCCCTCTGTAGTTCATCAATTGAGATGACTGCTGCCTGTTTTCATGTGGATAAAAATGAAAAAACACAGTGTACATGGCCTCCATTCTGTCCAGATGTTTGCCTCACTCGTTAGTCCATCGCTGTGATTCACAAGGCCGTTTCACATACCTGTGGCTGAATCTGATTGTGGTCTTGCATTCCAATGCATCCTACACCATGATTTGCTTATGAACTGGCTAATGGGCATGAGCAATTTCTAACATGGAGCTATGAGAATAAAAGTGTCCAAGAACATTCCTGTATGTGTATGTTGGTGGACAACAACATGCATCTTCCTTAGCTCTGCCAGTAGATGCAGGATTGTCAAGTCCTTATGCATCATTTCAATCAGGACACAAAGTATGTCTACCTTCCCAACCTATACTTTTTAGGATATAGAGATAAATGTCTTGCCACAGAGGACTGATAGAAAATGGAAAGGGGGAAACAGGCAAGGGTTTGTTTTTCTTATTATTATTTGTTTGTTTTTCACTGGCTGAATGTTTTAAGTTGTCCAGTAGGCAAACAAATAAGAGAATATCTTGAGAAGGAGAAGAGCTAAAAGCACCTAAGAAGCAGGCAGCTGTCCATGGTGCTGACCACAGGAAGCCAGCTTATGACCAGGCATTCAGAAGTGACAATGTGTAGCACAGAAGGAATCTACTGAACATGACATGTGCACCAAGCAGTAACCTATGTCTTTTACATATCTTGGCAGTCAGAGGTCAAAACTGCATCCTGACAGACATAGCTTCAACTAATCTCTTTATTGAGTGAATCTTGGAAATTTTGAGTATTCCTGAGCCTCAATTTACCTGTCTGTGAAATGGACATTATGAGTATTTTATACCACAATACGTAAAAACATTTATGTAACTCTAACAGGTGCTAAATAATGGAACTATTCTTTTGTACTCGCTCTAACCTACCTGGACAGTTGCCACCATCATCCTTTTCATCTTCTGAAAAGTCTGGGCTGGGGTGTCAGCAAGATGGTTCATCAAGACTTCTCAGATGGTAAAGGTGCTTACTGCCAAGTTGAACAATCTGAGCTCTATCCCCGGGCCCACATGGTGTAAGGGAAAATGTGACTCTGACTTCCACATACATTCATAAAATGAGTAAATCAGCCAGTAAATAAAATAGTGTTTGGGTCTCTATGAGGTGTGTGTTGTTATTCCCATGCTAAAAAAAAAAAAAAAAAAAAAAAAAGGAAACAACGTTTTTGAACATATCTTGTTCAAGTGGTTGGCTCCAGAAAAATTGGGAAACAGGTGAGACGGAGGGTTCTTGGCCTCCACCACATATGCACAGCTCCTGACCCTTCCTGCTGATCATGGTGCCAAAAACTCACCACACAATTCATGTTCAATACTGACCTGCACCACTCATGCACCACACACCTTGTGAAACAACAGAAAACCGTCCTTCCCATCAGTGGGGACACTGGCAGAGTCACACCTGAGTGGCCCCGCATGCTTTGTAGGGTCTGCCAGAGCCACCATCATGAGCTTTTTCCTGTAACAACCATGTGACGGAGCACAGGGGGCACTCTTGTCTCTAGGGCACTGAAGGTGATGAACAGCTGGGCCACCACGATCCAGACAACCAGACTTTGCTTTCTCCAGTGTGTGACTTGAGAGGACAAGAGTAGAGGCTCTGTGAATGCCCTGGGGGTAACTATGACATGATGGACAATTTCCAGCCAAGTGGACACCTTGTTAGAGGCCCATGATCAACATCTGCTAACACATTTTCTCCTAAACTGCTGGCATCTGCCAGAATTCTCATCAGGCCCTGTGGGCCAAATTGGGAAGATTAAAGAAGGACACAATTAGAAGGTGGGCTTTGAAATGCCCACCACTATTCTCAACTGCTTAGAGGATGCTCTGTGAGCAAGAGGTCAGCCCAACCCAGCAGTCCAAACACCATGCCACAGACAACAAACTCAAATACCAGATCACAGGGGGAGGAAGCACATCCAGGAAGCTCAGTTCACTCCGAAAGAGGAAGCCATTTTAAAATGTCCCCCAAGGACACCAAAACCATGTTTCCTACCTCAACTTGGCCAACAGCAGGAACAGGACTCACCAAAACCTGCACATTAAAGAAAAAAAAAGTATTAACATCCATTCAACAAGAGGGCAATTGCATTAATTGTCTTTCTAAAGGAACTGGCATCAATAATTCATTATAGATGGAGGGGACTAGGAGACAACCCACACGAGCATATGCAAACACACTCACACACGCACACTGGCACAAACATATACACACACCCAGAGGTGCGCACACGTACATACACTTATATAGAGACAGACACACAGACACACAAGCATAAAAACATACCCACAGAAACAGACATTCACACAGAGGCAGACACACACACACACACACACACACACACACACTTTTCCACCGAGCACAGTGACAGCAGATTCATCTTCACAGTCCTATGAAAAGGTGAAGAGGATAATTAATATTTTCAACACATTATACCAAACTTGCAGGAAGCAAGAAGGCCATGTGCAAAGCAGTACAATGAGGATTAAATGAACACCAAGGAAGCACAGGTATTGATGACAATTCTTCTTCATTAATGACATTTTTGAGGGTATTTTGTCTCTTCAGCCTTGAGCCAGGCTTCTGAGAAGTTACAATGACATCAACAACTGCAGCTCTTGTGGTTATGAATTAAGAAGTCCTGGCAAGCTTTATGCCAATTCTTCATGATTTTTTTTTCTCATTTAACTTTCTGAAAAACTTTTATTATGCCCTCTTTATAGAGAACACAAGGGCTTAGAAAACTTAGGTAACTTTTCCCAAGATCTGAAAGTTAATAAGTGGAAAGAATCAGATATGATCCCAGAATAAAAGCATGTCAAACTCCTACAGAGAAGCCCATGGCAGACAGGAAGTTCAGAGAGACACCAGCCACTGAGGTTCATACTAGCCTAGGAAGGGTCATCTATTTAGGGACTAGTAGAAATTCAGTGTGTGTGTGTGTGTCTGTCTGTGTGTCTGTGTGTCTGTGTGTATGTGTGTGCACATATGTGCAGATGCCTGAGGATACCATAAGAGAATGAGCTGAAGTTACAGCCAGTTGTGAACTGCCCAGTGTGGGTGCTGGGAATTGAACCTGGGTCCTCTGGAAGTGTCCCTAACCACCGAGCCATCTCTCCAGGTCCATATTGGTTTTTGTTGTTGGTGGTGGTGGTGGTCGTGGTGGTGTGTGTGTGTTGGTCATGTACATGTGGATACATATGTGAGCATGTGTGTGTGGTCACAGAACATTCTTGGGTGTCACTCCTCAGGCACCATTCACTTCAGTCTTGGAGACAGGGTCTCTCCCTGGAACATGGAACTGGTCACCAGGCTGGACCAGATAACCAAAAAGCCCCAGGGATCCAGGCATCAACTCCTCAGAGCTTGAATAAGAAGCACATGTGCCACACAAAGCCTTTTTTAAAAACATGAGTTTTGGGCATCAAATTCACATCCTCATGCTTGCAGAACAGGCATTTTACTGACTGAGCCACTTCCCCCACCCCGCAGGGATTTGGTTTTTGAAATCGCTTCTGCAAATTTCCTGTCTGCATTTCCCTGGAGCTCTGGAACTGATTCGGACAACTTCGGTGACATTTTTCTATCAGAAAATCAGACTACTAGCTGGTCCAGTGCTGCAGGTTTGTCATCCTAACTTATCAGAAAGCTGAGGCAGGAGGATCAGAAGCTCATGGCCTTCCTGAGCTACAGAAGGAGTTGGAGGAAAGACTGGCAACTTAGTGAGACCACACCTCAGAATAAAATGTAAAAAGAGGCTGGGGGTGGGACATCTCACTGGTAGAGCACTTGCTTAGCATAGACAAGGCCTTAGATCTAATCTTCAATACAATGTGGGGGTCTAAAATGAAAAATGCTAATAAGTTCAGTGTACACTAAATTAGAACTGAATTAAATTCTCCAAAATCATACACTGATGTCCTAACCCTTGTGTGAAGATGCTTGGAAGTGAGACCTTAGGAAGTGACTGCACTAAAGATGAAACCACGAGGACAAGGTCTCTGGGTGGATTGATGTCCATTTATAATTAAATACCAAAGGCTTTGCTTTCTGTTCACACCCATGCCAAGAAAGGTCATATGGGGACACAGTAAAAAAGCAGCCACTTGTAGCCCCAACAGCTGTTGTGAGGCCATTGACCTTGGACTTCCAGCGTACAGAACCACAAGCCTCCATTGCTGTTGTGAAGCTACCTGTCTGTGTCTCCATAGCCGCTGACTCAAACACTGACTGCTGCCAGCTGTGAATCCAACAAAGGGCTATAGAAAGGCAAGATCCCGACCTAGTGAACCAGACGCTGTGGCTTATTTCAGAAATCTCAGCCCATCCCAGCACCACCTCACCCACACTCACCAGCAAGGCATCAGCCCTCCCCAGAGCATCTGCCCCAGATGGGGAGGGGAGCAGACAGAGCTCCCTTCCCACAGAGAACAGTTCATGTCTCACTGGCTTCCCAAACCAGAGGCTGACCTTCAGGCCGACCTCACCTAACAGAGCCATGAGCCATGGTCACACACTGGCCAGGTTGTGATCCCTGGAAAGCACCATGAGGAATAATGGTGGTTGCAGGCCAGAGTTATGTCATGACTCCCCTGCGTGGCTCTGGAAAACCCTAGGTTGCTGCAGCTATTGCCAAATCCTTATAGTGCAAGGAGATCCCTCAGCTGCACGGCTCTGTGTGTGTCTGTGTGTGTGTGTATGTCTGTGTGTGTGTGTGTGTGTGTGTGTATGCTTTCCCTGTGGTTCCCAAGAGGACTAATGAGGGATAAATCTGACGTTCAACAGCTGCAGGTTTCAGGCAGCCCCAGCTCCTCTCTCCACTCATGAACAAGGGAAGCACAGTCCTCAGCCGACCCCTCACAAGAGTGGGCAGCACAGTCCTCAGCCAACCCCTCTTGTCTCCTCTACTTTAAAATCCGTTCTGTTTCCTGCCTTTGTGCATTTCCTGTTGCAAAGCCCCTCTGTGGCACCCGAAATAGACAACCCCACTCCTCACCGGCACTGCAAGCACACTAATATGGAGAAGCGTGCACACAGCTAGTGACCCCAAGGCTAACATGATACTAGCATGATCAAAATGTCTGTGTAGGTGTGTGCATATGCACCTATGGAGAAATTCCATCAGTTTTTAAAACACAGATGCATCGAAGTTTATTGGGCCTGCAGGAGTGTCCTATAGAGGCTAAAATATAGGGTTTCGCACTCAGCTGCCTCTGAGGGGACAGGATGATCAAAGCAGATGAGCTCACATGGAACTAGAGATTTCTTACCCCAACTAAAGTGATTTGCAGCAGCTTTTAACAGGCAACATGTGGCTCCAGACAACTAAGGCCGGAGTGCCCTACAAGAGGCTGCTGAGCGTAGTTTATGAGCCAGTGTGCTTCCAACCTGCCACCACAGGGAGCATGTGGCCCCGGACAGCTGTGAATGTGACCCAACACACCTGTAAACATACACATTCTGAAGCTGTGCTTGGGTGACTTTTCTTTGCAAAGCTACCGCATGGCTCTCGAGCATAAACTTTGTCAGATGATGAAGCTGGATTGCAATGTCAAAAGGCTGGACATGCCTGCAAGCCTGAGAAACGGTGGTACATCTGTGTTGTAAAATGTGATGTGATGTCTCCCTGGGTGCATATGCACACACCTACACAGACATGCGTTGCAACACACACACACACACACACACACACATATTCTACAGGAAAGAAAGGTGCACAACACAATAGCATGCATAACACAGGAACAAAAGCCTATAAACATTACTCCTCCTCCTCTCATACAAACACATGTATGTCTGAAAGGTGTCTGGTAGGACACACACCAAACTGACAAAGGGTTCACCTCTGAAGAAGAGCCTGGAACTTTACTAGGACTCGGTGCATTCCAGAAAGTGACAGGGAATTTTCCTATCTCACAGTTGCAATTTTCCTCAGAGGATATAACCACTTATAAACCTAGATTCAAGGCAATAAAGAAAACATAGCCTAATACTTTTAGTAAACGGCCTTTTAGGAACACTGGGTTGTTGTCGGTGTTGTTGTTTACTTTCTCTTAACCACGGAGGGGAGGAATAAAAATGACTCTGCCCTGACCCAATATGCTGGCTCACTGTAAAGTAAGGCCAAAGTTTAAGAGATGTCTCAGTCAATGCGACGGCTGCCTTGCAGCCACGAAGCCCTGAGACCCACATAAAAATGTCGTGTTGTGACATGCGCTTACACTCTCCACATAGAGAAGTGGAGTCAGGTGGCTCCCTGGGATGTCCTGGCCATCTTACCTTACTTACTTGGAGAATTCCAGAGCCATCAGAGGCCCCATCTCAACAAACAAGGTGGGATACATCAGAAGAGTGAAAGCTGAGATGGTCTTCTGATGTCCACAGGTGTGGGCACGTGGACTGGCACACAGTGAAGCAGTACTGAGTATTGGGGCTTGTGGCCAGCTGCAACAGAGCCATGTTTTACTTATGACCCACGATTACATATATTGCACAAACATACTAAGAAGCAAATGACAAATGTGATAGATCCGGATATTTTTTCCAATGCCCACAGCTTAGGGCTTACTCAGAAAGGTACACTCACAAGCCCTATGGCCTGTCTGTACCCAGTGCCGCCTGAGTGCATTGTAGACACACTAGAATGAAGCACAGAGGCCAGTAGGATGAGGGCTCTTTAAAAGATGTGGGCTGCAGCCCTTGGCTTTGATCTTGTCCAAGGCAGCAGCCATCAGAGAACGTGCAGTGGGGGGCTGATCTGATTAGAGGCCTGCTGCTGGTGGGCCATTCTTCAGACCAGCACAGGGCACAGAAGGGACATGGGAGATTCCCAGCGGGACGGGCAGGAATACTTTGTTCTGGCTTTTCTTCATCTCTTTAATCATTTCCCTTGCTCGCCTCTGGTTTCTGACTTGCGTTTGAAATTCCAACATGAAGGGGCCCCTCTTTCCCTGTGTTAGGAACTTGATGTCCAAGATTCCATTTCAACTCTTGCCTCCAAAATGCACTCCCATATCCCATCCACAGACAGAGAA